GTGAGCTTAGAGACCTAGTTGAGGCATTTCCCTCTGCTCCGTTTTTTCTTTGCTTGCAGTTCCTGCCTCCCTGGCCTGCTATGCTTTACTGCTGCCCAGGCTTGCTCTGGTGCTGCCCACACGTTGGGTACTTTGCCTGGCAATGGTTTGCCACTAAATGGTGGAATCTCAGTCTGGGAATTGGTGACTCAGCAGATTACCTCCCCTCCAGCCAGCTGTGCCAGGTGCCCAAGTAGGAATGACTAGGCTCTCTTGGAGTAGGGATTCTCCATCAGATGGGCACTTTTCCTTAGGAGAATGTCTCTAGCTGATGGCACCTGGAGAATTGTACACCTAATGTGCTCACTGTTTGGGATGGCCCAACCCAGGCAAAAAGGATACAAGGCAGAGCAAGAGTTTTCTCTCTAGTTATGTAAGTACTTGCATACTTATTAAATACTTGATATTGCCCTTTTCCCAGCAGAGCCTAGAATATTGCTTTTCTGAAAAAGTTTGCCAATCCCTGCTCTATAGCCATATTGGCCTCCTTGCTGTGCCAGGCACACCTTTGGGCATGCTGTTGCCTTGCACCCTTTGCACTTACTTTTCTCTCCATATGGGCATGGTCTTGGATAGCTCCTGTTCATTCTCAAAACAGAGAATCCTAGGTTTTACTTTTTAGAGATAGAAAAAAAGTCTGTTTTTTTGAAAACTTTGAATTTTACTGATTCATTTGCTTAGGTGTAGCAACAAAACAGCAAATAGATCCAGTTTCTCCTCTCATGGAATTTAGAATCCTTTGAGAGAAGGACATTAAACATAATCCCACAAATAAATGGCATATGATAAAACCTATGAAGGAAATGTTCAGGGACCTAAAGTTATAAATGGAGAGGGAACTAACATAAAAAAGGAGTTAGATTGACTTTTATCACTTCTGCCACCAATGGACCATGTTGGTCCATGCTAGCATCATCTCTTGACTGGATTACTGCAGTAGCTTCCTAACTGATCTCTCTACCTCTGCCCTTGCACACCTGCAGTTGGTTTTCTACATAGCAACCATGGTGAATCTATGAAAACAACTTAGATCATATTATTCTTTTGTCCAACCCTTCTGATGGTTCACTCTGTCACACTATACAGTAAAAGCCTAAAGTCTTACAGTAATACTCAAGGCATCATTACTTCTTTGACTTCGTCTCCCACTATTTTCTCCTCTGCTCACTCTACGTCCATATTGGCCTCCTTACCTAACCAGTACATTCTTAGGTTCACTCTCGTCCCAGGATGTTGACACTTGCATTCCCTAGATCGGTAATGCTTTTTCCTCAGACATCTGCATGGCTCACTTTATCACCCATTCCATGTCTTCTCTATTCATGCTGTTTTAACATTTTTAAAACAAATTTTTCATGTAGTCAAATGACCATGTTATTTAAAACCACAGCCTTATCACCTCACCCCTGACATGCTCTTTATTCCTCTTACCTCTTTATTCTCCATAGCACTTCTCTATGATATCATAGATATTATTTATCTATTATACCCGCGGTCCCGAACCTTTTTGGCACCAGGGACTGGTTTCATGGAAGACAGTTCTTCCACGGATGAGGGGCAGCGTGCGGGGATGGTTTCGGGATGAATCAAGTGCATGACATTTATTGTGCAGTCAAACCTCTCTGCTAATGATAATCTGTATTTACAGCTGCTCCCCAGACTAGCATCACCACCTCAGCTCCACCTCAGATCATCAGGAATTAGATTCTCATAAGGAGTGCACAATCTAGATCCCTCACATGCACAGTTTGCAGTAGGGTTCACACTCCTATGAGACTAATGTTACTGCTGATCTGATGGGGTGGAGCTCAGGCAGTGATGCAAGCGATGGGGAGCTGCTGTGAATATACACGAAGCTTCACTTGCTCACCCACTGCTCACCTCCTGCTGTGTGGCCTGGTTCCTAACAGACCATGACTTGTACTAGTCCGTGGCCTGGGCCTGGGGGTTGGAGACCAGAGTATCATACCATAATTTTACTTCTTTATCTTGTTTGTCTTCCTCTCTGAAAGCTTCACAAGGGCACATTTTTAAATGTATGTTTACTGCTGAATTCCCAATGTCCTAAAATTGTGTTTGGTGGATAGTAAGCTCTTACTATGTATGTGTTGAATGAATGAATGAATGAGAAGTTTCTTTGAAGACATGTCAATCTAGACAAAAGTGGGAAATGGGAATGGGAAAGGTTTCCAGGTAGAGAGGGAAAAAAACGAAGACCCTGAGCTAGGAGAGCATATAATTTAGTGACAAGAATGTATGGTGAATATCCTGAGATGAGGCTGGAAAGTTGGATGATGGCCAGATAATGCAAGACCTTATCAAAATTTTTGGATGTAATTTTAAGTATAATGGGAATCCATTAAAGGGTTTCACTACTTAATACTTCAAAGTTTATTTCCTAAGTACAGGATATTGTCCTATGTAACCACAGTACAAAAATCAGGAAATTGAAATTGAAAATCAGGAAATTGATTCATTATTATCATTTGATCCATAGAATTAATTCAAATTCTGCTGATTTCTTCAATAATGTTATTTACAGGTTCAGGATCTAATCTAGGATCATGCATTTCATTTAGTTATGTCTCTTTAGTCTCCTTCAGTCTAGAACAATTTCTTAGTTTTCTCATCTTTCATGACCTTGACGTTTTTGAAGAATATAGGCTAGTTACTTTATAGAATGTCCTTCAATAAGGGTTTGTCTTACATTTTCTTGTGGTTTATGAGTTTTTGTATAGGAGTACCAGTGAAATGATGTGTTCTTTTTAGTGCATATCAGAAAAAGCAAAATGTTGATTTATCCTGTAGTGGTAATGTTAATTTTTATCACTTGGTTAAGATAATGTTTGCCAGGTTTCTTGACCTTATACTTAGTAAGTATGCTGTACTGATTAGTTAACTATTTTGTGGGGAGATATTTTGAGACTATGTAATATCCTGTTTCTCACCAAGCTTTCATTATTTTAGCATCCATTGATGAATCTTACCATAATCAGATATTATACTCTTAAAAGTACCAAATCCTGACTTTTTGAACTCCATCTACAATACAGAGCTTTCCCTATTAGATATTTATTTTATTTACTTCAGAATGGTGTTGTCATTTTCCTCAATGGATTACGATTTGTTACTGTTACTTATTTAACAAATTGGTTTTATACTTTGCTACTGGGAGCCCCTTAAAGCTATTTCCTGTGTCCTTTTGACATGTCCTCATCATTTTTTGAGTAGTTCCTTAACTTTCTGGCATAGCAAGATGTTTGAGGTTTGAATCTTGAATTTTCTCAGTCTCAGCCCTGAAGTCAGATATTTCTCTAAGGAGCACTGACTGGCTCCTTTTAATGCAGAACATTATTTGGGCACTAGATATGCTTATTGCTACTATGAGGTGTTATTGCTTCTAGGCCTTCTCAGCATATACTTTTAGGAAACACATCCATATTTATACCTGTTTTTGTTTCTCTCAACTACGTTAAAAAATGACTGTACACTGATGCCTCCAATCCCAGTCCAAAACTGCAAGGTTTATCGTAGCCTTCTGCCTTCCCATATTTATAATTCTTTTCTTTGACAGTGAGAAACCCTGCTCCCATTATCTTCAATGTATTTATTTACTTAATTGCCCTGTTCTTCTTGTTTGTAACCAAACTCATAGTCAGGCCAGCCAGAAGCTTGGTCTCAGACATGTTTTCCTCCGCTCCCTCTGAAAACTTGCTCCCAGAAATAACCATGGGAAAGATAGTCCCAATGAAGGGGTGGGTGGTATAAGGGAGAAAGGAAAGGAGGAAAGATTAGAGGCCAATTAGAAAGCTTGACCCTAACCCTTTTCAGGGTCAGGCCCCTCCCTTTCTCACCAGACATGTTAGCTGAAAGCTCACCCTGATAAGGGTGAAGTGTCTTGTTTTATGTTTAGTCATCATTCTGGCTGCTGTGTGGAGAATAGATTGGACAGAATGAGAAAAGAGATGGGGAGATTGGCTAGGAAACTTTAAGATTAGTCCACATGAAAGAGTGGTAGCTTTGATGAGCCGTTTGGCAGTGGTGGAGATGGACAGAAGAGGACATACCTAAAACATATTTGAAACTTGGCAGACCTGTTTTAAATCAGCAGTTTACCAAAGATTTTAATTTGTCTAACCGATATAAATATAGATATCTTAGTAAGAAATAGTATTTTAAGAAATACATTGGTTTCCTGAGCGAATATTGGTTTATTTTTAGCCAGTAATAGTTCATAAATATTTTTCCGTGGTAGTAGGTATGAGTTTTTATTCAAAGTTTTATTTTTTATTTTGTTTATTTATTTTTTAGAGACAGGGTCTTGCTCTGTTGCCTGGGCTAGAGTGCAGTAGTGTCATCATAGCTCACCTCAACCTCAAACTCCTGGACTCAGGTGATCCTCCTGCCTCAGACTCCCGAGTAGCTAGGACTACAAGTGCACACCACGACACCTGACTAATTTTTCTGTTTTTTGTAGAGACAGGGTCTTGCTTGTGCTCAGGCTGGTCTTGAATTCCTAGCCTCAAGTGATCCTCCCACCTTGGCCTCCCAGAGTGCTGGGATTACAGGTGTGAGCCACTGCGCTCAGCCTATTTTTTATTTTTTTATTTTTACTTATTTTATTTTACATATTATTTATTTTAGAGATGGGATTTTGCTATGTTGCCCAGGTTGGTCTTGAACTCCTGGGCTCAAGAGGTCCTCCCACCTTGGCCTCCCGAGTAGCTGGGACTATAGATGTGCACTACCGTGCCCAGCTGGTTATAGTTTTTTCATTGCATATATTTTAGCTCCTGGTTTACACGTTAAAGGACTATGTTTATTAACTTTAAAATAGCTGATTGATTTGTGGGCCACTCAAAGTAAGCATTAATAATTTTTATATACTCTTAAATTAGTTATATTAACAAATGCATGTGATATTTAGCACTGATAATTATTAATTTTGCTTTGTTTTTTAGATATTATGATCAGATTTGTTCCATTGAACCCAAATTTCCGTTTTCTGAAAATCAGGTAAGTCATTAATTTTGTTTTAAGGTTATGTGGTACTGGCAAGTCACCCATTTTCTTCCACTAATAGTATCATTTTATTAAAATAAGTTATGCTTCTTCACTGCCTTTAGGTGTTTATGAGATAGTTTTATATAAGTTAGAAGCTTTTAGGTCAGTCTCATAGAATCTATGTCCTTCTGAAAGAGAAAGAGTCTCCTGGAATTCTATTCTCTCTGAAATTCAGACTTGTGGGGCTCATATAGGGCATTGGACTGCATTTTGTTTTGGACTGCACTTTATATCAGTAGGATCTTTTGACTGATTAATCTGCTATGTCCTTCCCCTTGACTTTTACAGAATTAAGGAAACTGCATAATTCAGGAAATACTAGTCTTAGTTTATGTGCTTTAAAAATTATTGGCACAAATTACATTTGCATTTAAAAGTTGCAAATGCTGTTATGATTGGATGTTACACTGTAAGAATGTCATTTTTATTTTCGGTTAAAGGCTAGATGTTGAAAATGCTGAGAATTTCTTACAGTTTTATTTTGGAGACTTGATAAAAATTTTGAAATTGTGTGATACTTTTAAATTAAAAAATATTATAATTAAAGTACTTTAAACATTCTCGTACTAAAGTTTTTACAGGTCAAATAATTACATGTTGAGATTTGCTTTTAAGTATACCAGGAAGCCGGGCGCAGTGGCTCATGCCTGTAATCCTAGCACTCTGGGAGGCCGAGGTGGGAGGATTGCTTGAGCTCAGGAGTTTGAGAACAGCCTGAGCAAGAGTGAGACCCTGTCTCTACTAAAAATAGTAAAAATTAGCTGGGTGTGGTGGTACACACCTGTAGTCCCAGCTACTCGGGAGGCTGAGGCAAGAGAATTGCTTGAGCCCAGGAGTTTGAGGTTGTTGGGAGCTAGGCTGAAGCCACAGCCCTCTAGCCTGGGCAACAGAGTGAGATGCTTGTCTCAAAAAAAAAAAAAATACCGGGAAAAAAAGTATGTGTGAATGGCTAGGTGTGTGGGGGCAGAGGAAGTATAGGGGTAGATGAATCAAGAAGGACAAAAGGCTAAAGCTGCTGATGAGTAAGTAGGAGTCATTTTTTTTATTCTCTTTAGTTTTGTGTATGTTTGAAAATTTTCCTATTCCAGCATTAAAAAATTTTTATGTTGGACTGCAATAAATAATTTAAATGAGACTAAGTTCTTTTTAGCCTTCATATATGGTATATTTGTTTTAGAAGGAGAGATACAGTTTTTTTATACAGTAAAATTTTTATTCATGTATAACATACATAGGGAAAAGTGAAGAAACCATGTGTATAGCTTGCATCTTCCCAAAGTGAATATGCATGTATAACCACCACCCAGATCAAGAAATAAAATATTATCTCATCCTATCCCCCTGAAGTAAACATTCTCCTACTTTTGTCATCGTGGAATAGTTGTTTTTAATCTTCTAGAGTATCTATAGTATTTACTTTATTTATTGCCTTTGCTTCTCTTGGCTTATTTTATAAGCATTTTATTAACTTGTTCTGTTAAAGCCATTTTGTGTCTGTGAAGATGAATAAGATGATATTTATGATTACTGAGGAAGAATGACCGTTTGAAATATCCCAGTGCCAGTGTTTTACTTCTTAAAAAAATAAAAATTTATGGTCTAGGAGAAGAAAGGAGTTTGTTAGACGAGATAATGTTTTAGATAGGTTGAGCTTTTGTCTTTTTCCTCATTGTGGATTTTTCTTCAAAAGAGACTTAATATTTAATGAGATCCAGGAAGGTAATATTATTTTCTATTTTCTCTCATTCTCTCCAGATCTGCTTGACATTTACCTGGAAGGATGCTTTTGATAAAGGTTCGCTTTTTGGAGGATCTGTGAAATTGGGTATGTAAAAATGATAGGAAACTTGGTCTAAATTACTTTGCATTGTTTTTGGTTTTTAAGTTTGCTCTCCTAATGACCCTTTGTAAATACTAAAATATTTTACATCTCATTTCCTTTTTAACTTCAACTTTCAATGCAATTTTGAAATATTTGTAGAGAGCCTATACCTTGCCAGGCACTGTCCTAGTTATAAAAATGAGTAAGATAGTTGTATTTAGTCTGGTTGGGAAAACAGTTCATCATTCTAAAATGTAATACAGTACTATATCAGCCTGTGAACGAACTCATGAGAACATAGATGAGGAAGAAGTTAATTCTACTTGTTGAAAGCAAGCAATGTTTGAGTTAGGCCTTGAGGGATGAATTTGTTTTTTCCAGGTAGAAAATAATATTGTAGGTACAACATCATAACCAAAGGTCAGAAGGGCAAAGGCTTTTTGATCTACTAGCCTGAGCAAGATAACCTCTCTGTGCCTTAATTTTCTTATCTGTGAAGTGGGGTTAATACTGTTTATCTCATTGGGATCTTAAGTGTATTAAATGAGTGAATATATATAAAGTCCTTAGAACAGTGCTCAATAAGTATTAGCAGCAATGAATAATAATGTATAATGTAATATAATATATATGATATATACATTATATATACTATGTAAGGCATACTTATATATATATACTTATATATGCCTTATATAGTATATATTACAGTATATCTTATATAATCCATATTAAGGTATACATAAACATTTTATATACCTAAGAGGTATAGATATATAGTATGTAGATATATAGTATATAGTACATACATATGACATATCTACATATATTTATTATATATCTATATCTCTTATATAAGGTGTGTATATATAAGACATGTGCTTATGTATAGGTGAGGATATGGAAATATTATATAATATTATCTAGTGTATATTATAATAATTATGGCTTGAAACCGTAGGTTGAATTAGGGATTATTGAGGGTGATGATATTGGAAAGTAGACTGTGAAGAGTTGTGAATATTATACTCCCGAATTTGTACTCTTTCCCTCTTATATATTAATAGCTAATGTTTATTGAGTGCTTATTCTACCCAGGCACTGTGGAAGGGGCTTTACGTATATTATCTTACGTGAATTCCCCCACAGCTTATTGAGGAAAGGCATTATTATTACCAGTTGAGCAAACTGGCTTAAAAAGATGAAGTGATTTTGTAAGGTCATATGGTTAGGATTTAATGAAGCTGGGATATGAATCCAGAAAGCCTAACTCCAGGGACTAGAGAGAAACAGACCAGTTAGGAGACTGATGAGAGAGGATAAGGTTAGACAAGGTAGTATATGTGGGTCAGAGGAGAAAAGATGGATTTGAGAGACATTTTAGAGGTGAAATTGACTGGATTTGCTGACTGTCAGTCTGAGGGAAGAGTAGGAATTGAGGGTTGATTCTGAGATTTATAACTTGGTTTGACCTGTTGGAAATGTTTATTCCTTTCAATAGACAGGGTTGAGTTGGACTTGTCTGTATGATGTCTGGGTAGAAATTTCTCTGGCATTTGGAAATAATGGATTAAAGCACAGAAAGGAAGAGATACAGATTTGGAAATAGTTATCATTAGGTAATAATAAATTTATCTATTCTGGCAGATAATAGACTGAGAAAAGTGTGAAAGCTGGAGCTAGGAAACATAATATTCAGGGGAAATAGAGGAAGAGGTTCTGGGAATGAGGCTGAAAAAAAGCTTTCAGATGTTACAGGAACCAGGGAAAAATAAAGACAAGGAAGTGAATGCCAGAAGAGTTTCAAAGGTGATACATAGTCCAATGGTTCCCAAACCTGGCTACATATTAGAATTACCTGGGGAAAAATGTTAATGATACTGATTTATCTTTAAAAATGAAGATACAGAATGCCAGATGTGATAGGAGGAAATTTCAGGATAGGGCACTAGAATTAGTAGCTTTGAAAATACCCCCAGGTGGGCCGGGCGCGGTGGCTCACACCTGTAATTCTAGCTCTCTGGGAGGCTGAGGCGGGCGGATCGTTCTGAGCTCGGGAGTTCGAGACCAGCCTGAGCAAGAGCGAGACCCCCGTCTCTACCAAAAATAGAAAGAAATTAATTGGACAGCTAAAAATATATATAGAAAAAATTAGCCGG